TAAACCAGAAATGATTTTGCGTTAACGTTAATTGGACGAGGCGAAGTTTAACGTGAAATTATTTTCGTTTGCTCGTCGGAGCAGCGAATTTAAATTTACCCGGCCGATGTGAGAAAGTGGTAGCGAAAAATAGTTGAAGCAGACGCCCGTGCAGATAACATCTCGGCGGATTTTGTAAATAAGCTTTTTTCGTACATATCCCCCTTTTTAGTACGACCAGTACTTTCACGGCGACTGCTGTTCAATGTTTATTGACGCGAGTCACGAGCCGGAACGTTATCAAGGATGAGGATCGACTTCTGCCAGAAACGATAAGTACGGAGAGAAATGAAAGTTTCGTTCTTATAGGGAACGTGGCGCGGTGAATAAATTTTCGAATTTCAATATTTCTTCTCGGGAATATCGAATGCGGAGAAGATGCAAACTCCCCATGCGGCATTTTATACAAATTAATGATAAGATATATTGTACAATGTCTTATAAAATAAATATTTCTTGAGTTTGGAGATCAGTAAGAAAGGCGAATGACGTCGTACACATAACAGATGGGACTACTGTTAATTAAATTGCCCCTGGAAAAAGCGTTGCGTGATCCAGATTAATCAGACGGAAGTTTTATACGATTTTAATGCAAACAATACTTCCTACGGAAAAGCAATTTGGGAAATTAACGTTCGGGAAAAAATAATAACATAGGAACATTTTAAAGTGTATTTCTTTCGAAAAGAAAAGAAAATCGAAAAAGAGAAAAAAGAATGGACAATGATCAGCAAAAATGAAATCGTGGTCAACCCATTGTACGTGTCTAAAAGGCGACCGAGCATGTTCGAACGAACTGAACGGTAGAACAGTTTTTACAAATACATACACTACAAACGCTGGCGTGCATTGGGAAACGAGAATGGGAAACCAATTTCGTATCGATCGTTGAACAAATTGCAGAATAATTCGCGGGATCGAATATAACCGTTTAAAACTTGATTCAACGACGTATTAACATTATCTTTTTGAACACCGCGTTATTATGTATAATCTAAGTCAACATTGGTGATATGATAAGCGATTCGGTTCAAACGTATTTTCATCATAGAATTGAACTCTGTGTTTATTATTAGATCAAATTCTATGTGCGTTCTGATATTATAAGATTTTCATTTGTTGTCTTATATCTTGTCATCGTTTTGCAAAAAAAATAAGAATCGTGCAAAGTAAAGCAAATTTTTATCAAATGATAAGATAGAAGCAATAACTCAATTTCTCTGGAGAAGTCAATTTCCTAGCGGGGTGCGAATTTCTTTGCCAGCTAAACGGCCGTGGTTATTTAATATTACACGCGAGAAACCACGGTTTGCTCGACATCGGCAACGTATAGTAATTGCCGTCAAGTAATTTTAGCTGCTGTTCGTGTTACGAACTCAGCCGGTTGATTTTCTTGCGTTGGAGAACGCCGCAGTATAACAGCACCAGTCGATATTTCAACCAGCCGTCTATACGATTACCCTCGTCCTCTCTTGACATGACCATTTTGCCACGTAACGAAATAAAACCTCGATACATCGCAATTATTTATTAATGGGACTGTTCACGTGAGAACGCAATTTTTTTTCGATCAAACTTTCATCCACTCTAGATCCAACTTTAGGACTTCCTAACGACACCCCGACCGCGTATATCCGCATTGTGTAAGCGCTTCAAACGCACGTGAATTTTTCAACGCCTTCGAAGCTATGAATTTTAAAATCCTTTTGCCGAATTGCTTTCAAGCTGGCAGTGCAATCATCTTGACGTAACTTTACTCGCTTAAAAGATCGCTTTGGCGTAGAAAAACGTTTATTTTTGAATCGTGTGCACGAGAACAACTCGTAATTCTTACGGCTTCAACAATTTCCTGCCTGAGCGTTTCTGGAATAAATTACGAAACTTGATGTACGCAGCACACATTCTTTCGATTGATTTATGGAGCCACCCCCATTTCTAAGATCTATCGCTCAGTGTCGCTGTCTGCGACACATCAGTTCCGAAGCGTCTCCTCTTGACGAATATGTATGTGTATTTAAGTACGCGACTCTCGACACGTTCGTCAAGCATCTACTCATACATCGTACACATTCACCAGAGACTGGTTGCTGCGAGCATTAGACGAATGAGAGTCCTAATCGATTGGCAAGTTTTACAGTTCAAGGCGATACATGGTACCGTCGTAAGTAAATGGTAACACTTGGTTCACTCTCGTTTCTTCCCTGACATACTTGGATATAACCGTTTACTTGTTTTCAACTGTTTTCGCTTAATCCACCGACGTCCACAATTTGTTTTTCATTTCTAATTCGATTTGATCACAAGTTTCACGGTTTCAAGGCGATACGTAGTATCGCCACAAGTAACTGCAAACATCTGGTCTACCCTTGTTTCTTCCCTGACATACTTGCATGTGATCATCGTTTACCTGTTTGCAACCCTTTTCCCTTAATAAACCGCAATCCCAATTTTGTCTCTCGTTTCTAATATGGTTCCATCTCGCGTTTCGCCGTAGGCAGTAGCGCTTGCAAACATTTATTTTACAAGCACCCCTCAGTTACGAACATTCTTTCGGCAAACACTTGCCCGGCCGACGAGCTGCCTCCCTAGAAAACTTAATCCATGTTTCCGAATCCCTCCGGGCACATAAATTTCTTACAACCATGCTTCTTAATGTTTTTCCATTTCGCTCGACTTTTCACCATATATCCACGGTTTTCGTTTTCGAAAGGTGCAGACAAATTTATTATCAGAAATTCATTAAATTATTCATTACCAGACCGTCAGTTTATAGAAAAATTATAAATGCAGAGGAAGAAGAATAATTATTATGTATGAAAGTATTATAAGACGAATACATATTTCATGTTTTAGCGATAAGAGATGTCTATCCAAGAATCTGATAATACGAACATAATTATTTGCATAAAAAAACGCGATTTATTTATTATACTCGTATAATACAAGGTTGAAAACGTTCTTCAATTTAACTCCATCTCTCTGGATAGTAAACGATCGGGGATTGAAATATTCTGCTCAAGTGATCTCTCCAGCAGCAGACGAAAACGACACTTCAACCACCGTGCATTTATCATCGTGCTCGGTTATTTTACGTATTATAGCCAACAAAAGACTATTAATATTCCGGCACAATGCCACCCCGTGATACTCGTATCCCGAAGGATATCCATGAAGTAAAAGACTCATCTCGTCGATCCTCGCTTGATCCAGTTAAACCGTCGATATCACCGTTTTGATACTTTCTCGCATAATTATTCATTCTCGCAAGCGATCTTGCTCTCATTTTATACCTATCTCAGACATTTATTCTCTTTATAGGTCTATTTCTAAGAAACAGAGATAACTATCTTTTCTAATTTTATACGTTGTCGAAATCACTCCGGTCGTAAAACACGTAAAGTTTTATAAGGTCAGATGGCTCACGTTTTATAATACTTTTTTCTCGTAAAAAGATCGGCGGAGAGAACACCGTTCATTGCTTTACAATATTTAACACGATATTTATTTCTGTTCTAAAAGAAACTTTCATTGACACATTTTTTAGATAGTCTTAGTGAAGGAAGCTACGTATTTCTTCAATTGTAAATAATTGTTTAGATCAACTTGTTTATATCCTTTCAGATAGATGCAGTAGCTCTGCAGAAGTAGGTTGTTCGATCTCCGAGGGTTCTAATGAAAATGCAATGCTTGTCGAATACTAATCTAACTTATATGTCTTGCTTATACCATTCAACGCTCTTTTTAAAATTACAGTCTTTTTCCACGTTAGTTATACTATTGTCCAGGACACGTCTATTATAGTCGAAGTATTATATTCTGTGATCCCATTGTCAAGGATTTACCATTATAATAATATATAAGTTATGAGACGAAAAATTATTTTATTTAATCGGAATGTGTATGATAAATAAAAAAAATCTCTGAAGCTCTTAAATCTGTCGTGTATATGTTTGTTAAAAATTGCATCGACCCTAATGCGTTAAACGCGTGATCGCACACGTAACATATGCACGTCTACATCGTGCAGGGGGCAGAAATACGAGCGTTTGTAACAATATGCGCACGATATTACGGATTTTACACTCTGCAAGACGTGCATACATCATTTCATTGTTTTCTGCCCATGATTCATGCCCCTCGATGGGCATCGAAAATAGGTGCAATCTCCTCGCATGAATACTGCGGCGGGCGCGTATATTGGCATATGGTAAAAAACGACGATATTCAATTTTAGCAGATTTCAACTTCACGATTTCGCAAAGAAGTCAAGAATCTCTGCATAATTGGAAATCATGTCGCGACCCACATTAATGAATTATCCCTCTCGGAGGAAAACGAACGTTTTCCTGAAACGGGATTAGCACCATTGAAATGAAATTAATTCTCTGCTAATCCGGAGGAGTTCAATAAAGAATTTCCCACAATTCTTAACTTCGTAATTTAAATGACTCTTGTCTTTATTTTATCAATCGTAAACGGCTTTAAAAAATTGTTCTGAGATGAACATGTTATTGTAATTGCGACAATGAAATTGCTAACTAGACAGAGAGTTCGTGCTGTAAAACGAATTACAGAATCAGATAAAAGAGAAGTAGCAACGCAAGGGGAGGCGAAATAATAGGCGATGATCCAGCCCGAGGACATGGCGGGTTATTGCTCTTCTAAACTCTTTCCTCCTCACTGCAGCTAACGCATTTTAAATCAACATCAAATGATAATACCACAATATATTTTACTATTATTCCGCATATATATTATAATTTATAAAACGGTTATTACATAATTTAGGATACGACAGCAATTCAGTTTTATTAATATGCCAATTTAAAGTGGAGACATACATTAAGGAATTTATTTCACAAATTATTTTATACTCGATATAAAGGTAAAGCAGTAGGAAGGTTTAGTTAAAGAGATAAGGATCAACGTACCACCAATTGTCACGCATTTACCGTACTCACTCCAATAGTTGCGGCGGTTTGAAGCTGATGTCGAGCCGATACGTTGCCTCGCAGCTCAGTTTGACGGTCTTTAACTGCCGAAATCTCGCCGATGTTTCCATCTTGCAGTAAACTGGACCGGCACCTGGTTCCCTCCTGAGGGACAAGGTCACCCGGAAATGTCCATCAGCACCCATCGGACCCCATAATTTAACTTTGAAAGGAAAATGAAAAAAAATAAAAGAATAACGCGAGGCGTCTTTTTTGGTGTTCTTGAATTTATTTGAATTGCACGGTGAGGCTTCGATGTTAGAACTCGAAAGAGCACCCCTAAATTTGGCGCACTCCCTGAGAACAGGACGCGGCAGGACGGGTGCACGCTGCAACGTGCGCGGTGGGCGTCGCGACGCTTACTGAACTACGGCACCGTGGACGTAACGCGATTCTGACACGCGACGCCAACTTTAACTTTTCTGTTCTGCCTTTCAACCCCCGGGTCGGATCGCCCTTCCACCTGCGATGATGGAGAGACCGTTCTAACTGCCGGTAGCGTGTTGAACATTTGCATTGCAACGATAAATGTTCAGAAAGCGATGAAGCATTCTAAAATTGGGTAATTTGTGATTCTATATACATGAAATATGCATAGAGACGGATAGAAGGGTGACGACCGGAAAAATGAGAAAAATCATTTTTTTAACATTTTTATTTCCACATTCAACTATTTTTCAAAACGTACGAACAGTGTAAATATTACGAAAACATTTATACAATTGTTTACACGTTTCACATTTACATTATAAGATGTTTACAATATCGGGCATTTGTCTATACAATATTTAAGAATATAAGTGTAGTAAATATCTAATACATCGTTTCACAAAATAAATTGAACGATATTACTTAAATAACGTTGGTACTTAAAAAATATGAGGAACTTGTATTTATTGAAGTGTTTATCGTTCAGAAATCCATTGATGAGAATAATTGAACTTCTTAAAATATGAAAGGTCAGCTATTTAAATTATGTAGTGGGTTGCTTATTTACGAAATCATTCATGTTTTACAGAATATAAATTGTTAACAAATCGATAGTATCATTTTATTTCATTCTGGGATCACATTCGCACGCAGAACTCTGTACAAGGTGAAAGTAACGTCATCAGAATTAGTTTTTTAAGTAACGAGATCAATTAATCAGTTCCTAAAGTTCATACGTCTATTCTCCAAACATACTTCCAGTCGAGCGATACGTGCGATATTAATTGTCATAACGAGTGTTCACGTTCACGTTGTTCTTCTTCAACTTGATTTGTATGCTCGGTCAAAGTTACTGCTTGTCCCACTTTTATCCTCTGTCCTGCTTCCACGCAGAACTTAAAATCTTTCGGAGCTTCGAATAGCAACACAATGGTAGATCCCATTCTAAATTCACCGAACAGATCACCTTTGTTTAGATGCGTACAACCTAGGCTAGCATCGTCCCAATGCTTCGCTTGAGGCCACTTGATAGTATTCGTGTGTAGGTCTTTGTCACAGTATACTCTTATAGAACCAACGTTCGTAGCACCGACTGCGGCGTAAGCCATGAATCCACCAGCCCATTTACCAATGTACACTACATGCTCATTTAACGAAAATAAATCTGGTAGGTATCGAGCTACTTTTGGGTTGACGCTTAAAAGTTTTCCTAAAGCGGTAAGAACATATTTTATCAATCTCAATTCAAACGACTCGACGTTGGTTAATAAAGTAATAACAGACCTTGAAAATGTCTACGAAATTCTATTTCCCAATCGGTAGGACTATGAAATCTGTGATAATCTCCTGGAGCTAAATAAATCGTTAGTTGATACAATTGATTCAGCACTGGATTTTTCAATAGCGATTTTATGTAAACTTCATCTTCTTTCGTCAATTTTAAATTGTCCAAGTAAGATGTACTTATATCACCCAAGAAATGTCTAAGATTGTAATTAACGCCCTTCACTTGTTGTACGGAACAAGATGTCACTGGTCCAAAATATACTACTTTTCCATCACACGGTGAAACCTACGGCCAATTTATAAATACAATTAGCGCCTTACAAATTGCTTCTGCAAGCTATAATTTAAAAATACATATATACGCACTATGCTTGTACTCTGATCGATAGGTCTCGCATCATATTTAAGTGGCCTAACAAAAAAATCACCGAGACTTGGAAAGTCTGATAAGTCTAATGCAACCTCCTCTAAATTGGCATCGAAAGTCTTTGCATAAAATCCATATAAAGTTGGTCTCAAACTAATTGGCAATTCCAAACTTGCTAACCAGCCCCATATTCTACTTATTACACGAAATGGTAGAAAATAATAACATTTGACCTGTAACATTTTTAAAGACGTTTCATTTAAGTTACAGCATTTTCATTCTTGTACTATTTGAAATTCTTAACTCAAATTTCATTTTCTATGCATATTATATCATGTTGCTAATTTGGGCTGTACCATAAAACTATTGATTGGCTCATACACATCGTTGTCTTCAGTTATATACGAATATTCTCTCATATATTTCCATTGTAATGTTGCTAATAAGGATACTCCGACTCCAATAGGAACAGTCCATTTCTTTTGCTTAATAAACGAATACCAAGAATTATTCTTATATTGATTTGTACTTATATTTGAAGCATTTGCCTTTGGAAATTTTGGCTTTACTATAATTCGGAGAATAGACATTTCTGTGCAACATTTGTAAGGACTTCTAAAACATTTTAATAGATTTAAATATTACATGATTTAATCAAATCGATGATAATAGCGTCACAAACCTCATGCCTTGAGTTAATCGACAAATTCTGTGGATACTCATTCTGTGGACAAATCTATTATAAAATGTTGCACATGTGTTCTCTTACGTTAGTCTAAATTATATATAAAATCCTGTAAAAAATATAAATTTATCATTAACAATAAGTAAATGCACACGTGTAAATTTATATTTTTTAAAATCTGTTTTATTTAAATAAATTTTATATATAATACTAAGGTTATTACAATATTAGGTAAGATACATTTTTATACATACGTTAACTATACATGCAGACATCAATTATAAATACGATTCAGGGCTCTCTCATTAATTATAGAAATAGAAAATAAAAAAAACAAATTAAAATAAAAGATTTCACTAACCGCGCATTCGTTACTTGTTCGTTAATGTTTATATCGTGATCGTGAATGCCATCTACCTCATTGCATTCTGGCTCTGGCGTTTTGCATACTTCAGTTCAGATCGTTCAGTTCAGACAGACGACAGACGTGTTCGACGTGTTTTCATCGGTCACTGTCGGTTACCCAAATTAACCAAAAAGATAAGTTATTTATTAGAAACGTCAAATGTGAAGCAAATTTGAATGTTTCTGGAAAAGGAATAAGTCATGGTAAACGTGACGAAAGGAATCTTGGTCGAATGGTACGTAATAGAAAAATGAAAATTTATTTCCGTACAATCTCAGTTTATGTAGTCTAAATCATTAGGAACGTTAAATTGCTTGTTGAGGATTTCTTCCGATATGTCAAATTTCTTTTTACACCAACTTTGTACTGCAAAAATATTGTCCGTCCATACATTCACAGCTTCTTTGTATTCCTACAAAATAGAATGTTTGTATTTAACGTAAAGGAGTATCTGATTATCTCGTACTTTCACTTCTCGTTCCATTCTGGCTATAGCTTCAGGATCAGTGTCACTGAATTTAGCAATCTGTTCATTCAATTGAGTTTCTTGTGCCCTAAGTTTTTCTATCTCATTCAATAATATCTGCAGCTCCTCTGTGTCTTCTCTTCCTATCTGGAATTTCATTGCAGAATAAAGTTAACCTTTGAGTCCTGTATCATTGCCTGTTTTCTTTCTCACCTTCTCTTTTTCACAGGCTTCCCTTAATTTTTGAAGTTTGAATTCCGCAGCTACTATCTTCTTAGAGGCATCAGATATTCGTTGTTCGGTCCCAGTTATATTTTCTCTGTATAAAATATTGCTTTCTGCAATATCATATTACAAAAAGACTGTTATACGCTCAATGTTTACCCTGGGAAAGTCCAAAAATATGTCGAAGTGCCAATTTTTTCCGATCTGACTAATCCATCATCTACCAACATTTGAAGTACGTCTTTCACAGACTGTGCAACAATGCCCTTTTCTTTAGGTGCGATGGTTTCCAATTCTTTTAAACTAAAGAATTCTCTCTTCTCGTAAAAGAGATGAAGTAATCTTGTACGTTTCTCATCGAGAGTAACTCTTCGTTTTGACATTTTAATTAACTACAATAAAATAATAAATGGTTACTAATATAAATTGTGTTTACAGTGACGCAGCTATGAAGCAATTCCTTTTACATCTCGACGATACGTTTGCTCTGGGACGAAAATTTATCATTCAAGATTTGGACGACAGACATTTGTTCATCTCTGCCGACATCTTAGACATCTTACAAGCAAAAGTCGACGATTTGATGGATCAAATATCGTTTCCTTTGGCAGAGAAAGGCATATGAACATCGTCTGCGAATCTTCTGTTTATTATATTACGATACAATCTAAGTATTCACGATTTATTAATAATCGAAGATGGCAGCGCGAGAATCTGGTAGAATAAAAGATGCGTATCAGAAACGAGTACTCGATGAAGCTGCTCGTAAACGTAGGCAAAAGAAGGCGTTGGAAGCCTTGGAACAAGATAATTTCCATGACGATCCTCATGCCGATTTGGGTAAAAATCGAAAGAATTCACACGTCTCCTTATATCTATATGTTTTTAATATCTTACGAGACGGGATGTTTGTTTTAGTGATGAACAAGAAAGTTCCCAAATTCCAAGAGAGCTTAGACAACAGAGGTGGCAGGAGGAAGAAGGCTAGATCGGCTGAATACTACAAACAACGGTTTCGCAAAAGTTTTGCTCAATTAGTAGAGGAAGATCTGAACATCAATCCAAATCCGCCTAACTACGCATCTGCTCAAGCACCGCCATCCCGATTTCCCGAGAGACAGTTTTGTGCAGTTTGTGGTTTCCCTAGTAATTATACTTGCATCCCTTGTGGAGCGAGGTACTGCAGTATGAAATGTTTAGGTACCCATCTCGATACAAGATGCTTGAAATGGACAGCTTAATTACATGCAATCTTTCTATTTTGTTTTGACATATTCTTCATAATTTTTTATTGTATGGAAATATATATTTAATCGGAAGCAGAAATATGTAAGACTTATCATTGTAAATACAAGTGTAAATGAAGAATGAGGATGAAATTAATTTGTATTTCTGTTGCAAGTTCTATCAGAGAAGAAGTGAAAAATATACTGGAACAAAGTGTTTATCGCTATTTAAACACTGAATTCTAAATGGAATATTCGCTGGTTATTTCAGAGTTAAAAGTACATAGTTTCGGGGATAAATTGTTAATAATTGCAAGTCCAAGGGCGGGATGATTCTCATTTTATAAAAACAATGGCCCCCTCGCGGATGTCAAAGGAACCGTAGTTGCGCCGTGACGAAACGGCAATAGAAAAGTAGAAACACGTCTAGTGGAAGGACGTGTGATCGTTTATAATTATGTGAAGTTTAAATTCTTGGACGATATTCTTTGTTCTGCCTGACGCGCGGACGGATACGAACGAAATTACTTATGTGAAAGTGTTACGTACCCGGTGGTACACCGTATCGTGTTCTGTGGACTGAATATATCGTAGTAGGTTATAATAATACATAGGCATGTAAAATGTCATAGATGTAACAATTGTAAAAAAGAAGAGTGGCTAATAAAATATTCTCCTGTGTTATTTCCAATAAATGTACGTATACCTTATATGAGTTGTATTTTATGATTCTTTCGTATGCTCGAAATGTCGATTTCCTGAAACGTTACAAGCTTCCACGGTTCGATTAATCAATGTGTACACGTAATCGATGTCATACGTAGACGTAGTTAATCAGATAGAAAGATCGTACGAGTTTAATTTAATTATACGAATACTTGTCTTTGCTAATATTGCAGTTTCAAAAGACCCGACGAAATTACTTATCACGATTTGTTGGTAAAAGCGCGAACTATAGAGCATTTGGTCTCTCGGCAAATACGTATCGCCGCCTACCGGTTCGATCCACTACCAGAAAGCACGACGGACCTCGAAATGTGTAAACGCGCGAAATGTTTGTTCTAACATCAATTTTGGTTTTCGAACATTTGAACGAGCATCGGGAGATCGCGGCTACACATCGTTCGGTGTGACGTGAATTTAAGTACCTGTGGTATGATTAATACAAAATTTTCGTTTGCGGATGCTCGGGTGAGAAGGGATAATCGAAGGTAACAGCAGTCTATTTTAAGAATGAAATTTATATAGCACGGAGATCCCGTTTCGTTTTTAAAACTTATTGTCAACTATTCGAAATCATTGATACCTGAGTAATATTCAATTTTCAGAACTTATTCGATTATACGTTCTTGGGAAAAATTACTTGTTAATTATTCGACATACGTATACCAACTTTTATTCGATCATGTTACAATACGTTTAAAAACGTTTCACGATTACTTCTTTCAATTTCATCGTAAGATTACAGATAAAATAAGTAGAATTAGCTTGATAATACGATAATCATTAAGTACATACGTACACAATACACATACAGCTGGCTAGTTTGTTGAGCTTCCTGATCACAAGTGAAATTTGTATTTATAGACGGAAATAAGACAGCCGGAGATAATTAGAATAAGCTTCGATCGGTAAAACGCTGGTGGCTACGGTGGATGTTTCACAGCGGAAGATAAGAATCTTTTGCGAACCGTGCGACGGTTTAATTGCAGAGAGAAGTAATTAACTGCGTGCACCGTTTAGAGCGTGCAGTAACGATGACGACCTTAGACTCGCAGACCGATAAAAGTTTATGTCATCTCGATAAGCGATCGAGCACGGAGTTAACTGAAATTCCGTCTGATCACGGACTTCCTGTTGGGATAAGTCCGATGGAATCTCGGGTAGCCGGACACCGGTTAGACACCGAAGGACATACGATTGGTAAGCATCTGATCGAATTAAAACGTCACGGAAGATGAAATAACTCTGAGAGCAGTCTTTGCTGAATCGCCTCACTGTTTGGTAATTTCATCATACCATCAAGATGTACCTTCACTGTTTTTCATTGTATTCTTCACATGACGTGTGCTTCTCTCATTGATTTCTATTTTAATCATCGTTTTCGCTTTCAGTCACCGCAACATCAGTTCTCTTTTTTTATAATCGCTTTGTTCCTTTCATCTGTGCGACACGACTAAGACTTTAGTTATAATTCATACTCGTAGAGAATGAAGAATTCATTCAACATGTATCATATGTAATGTTCGATGTTGTAAAAACGTTTGTTAATAAATGTTATAGGCATGTTACGTAGATCGGACGGGCGTGTATTTAAACCAGTCGTTAAACCGTTACTTGGTAAACGGGAAATCTCGTTCTATGAAAATTTACAAATATCCCGAGATCCTGTCATGGTACAATTGAAGAATTACGTTCCACGATATTACGGCACGACTGAGTTGCAAATTTTTGGCAGACGTAAGATATCAAGAATATATCGAGCTTTTTTTAACTTACCCCCATAATCCCTCCTCGTTCCTTCTGTTCTTTCTCTTTTACGAGTACCGTCTTAGAGAGTTTCGTTATAAGTTGTACAATGGACGACGAAGGACGTAGATTTTTAAGAATGATACATGTAATTATTTTCTTCACTGTTAAAGATGGACGGTTCAAAATAAATGTAAAATCGTTTCACTACGTGAAAGAACTTCTTATCTTTAAGAATGGAGAAAGTAAATTGACTCTTTTTTCCGATGAAATAATTTTAAATAAAACAGACGATGGTTTTTCATTCTATATTAACACCTCAATTATCAGATGCGATTGATTTGTCGTGCATGTATCGATAATAATCATTAAATGACTTTTCCCAAAAACTTTCACCTCTCACACTTAATTGCCAAGAATTAAAAAAAAAAAAATGACGGTTCTCCTGGTTAACGCAACAAGATTAATCGTTTTGGTAAAATATTAGGAGTAACATTCCTTACGCTGAAAGATATTACCGATGGTATGGCGGAACCGTGCGTGATGGATATAAAGATAGGTAGGCGTACGTGGGACCCTTTGGCAACGCCAGAGAAAAGAGCTACGGAAGAATTAAAGTACGCCGAGTCGAAGCGCACTTACGGATTCTGTATAACTGGATTTCAAGTGTATTGCGTCTCCTCCGGGCAATTAAAACAATTTGGCAAACATTACGGCAAGACTCTTGACGCCAATGGCGTCGTAGAAGGTATATTGATAATTGTTAACTTTACATACATATAATACACACGAATAACTAACGGATCGATCGGAGGAACGAAAACGATGGAAGACATTTTAAGACACGTTAAATTTCTGTAAAAACCGTTCCATAAGGTACTTTTCTTTCCTGCGCAGCATTGAAGATCTTCCTGAATATAACTCCGGAAAGACCACCCTGCCGTCAATTGGTCGTCAAGCTTCTCTCCATTTTATGGAGGATTCTACTCTTCTTTCGCGTTCAACGGATGTTCCGCTTCTATTCTAGTTCCCTGTTGGTGGCATACGACGCGAAAAGACTTAGACATTACGTTCGTCAGAATGAAGCGAACGATGCATCACCATCCGGGCAGTCGCGATCGTTCACTTCGACGAACACCTTTAAGCACGTGAACGACGCGACGACCAGCGACTCGATTCCTAGCGACGAAATCGTCAGGAACCGGACGATGGAGAGAGTGCATTTTATCAAGAGGAGCATCAGTTTGAGCAGCGAGTACGACTCGTCCGGCAAAGAGAAATCGTTGAACAGAAGCGGATCGTGTAGTCCCGATTTCAGAGACGGTCGACTGTGCCGCACGCATTCTTACATAAACAACTTCGACGACGATATCGTCAGGATGAAGGAGGATTATGACGACCTGCTGAACGAGCTTACCAGTACTTCGGAGGAGAAGCAGAACTGGGTCAGAATTAACATGATCGATTTCACGCATGTCTTCCCCGCAGAGGATCGCAATGCCTTGGACCTGAATTATCTCGAAGGAATCGAGAACCTGATCAAACTCGTGGAGATGTTCCTCGTTACCAAGGACACGACTGCATGAAGCATGCTCCCGTCGCGATGTAGGATGCCGTTGTTACGCGTTTTATTCAAAATCGAGAGGAACGAGTACGAAACGTTACCGGTGCAACTGTATTTTATATTCTTTAATAAAATTAGATTCCGTTCTCATTTTCTTTTTTTCTCTCTCTCTCTCTCTTCTTTTTTGATTTTCGTTAGATCGGCGGGAACCGCGAATCGGAAGCAGTAATTTGTGACGATACTCTGTGTACACGTTAGCGCGTGAATAACAAATGAATGACGACGGGCGGTTGAAAATGTTCCGTGGAAGCTTATCGGGTGGCGGGCAACTCGAAAACCAACTGTAGAATATACATATATATTTATTCGAGCTTCTGAGAAACGTTTTGAATACCCGTGATAGTGGCATGATGTGGCAAGCACCGAACAAAATAACGACTGTTAATTGTTTCGCACCAAATATAACGTTTGCAACATTGTTCACCGCGCACACGCATACACACTTCGGTCAGTGCACCCTCGCCTGTCGGTGTTATTAGAAAATCCGTGGCTGGTTAATTTTATATTTATAAACGTTCTATTCCTACTTGTGTATTCTTGGTGCGACTCCATTTATTTTCTTATGTTACTGTTTCCTGCAGACGTCATTCTGTAATTGTATGAGCTAAACACGGAAATTGTTATATCGGTATAAATGAAAACAATAAATAAAAGTGTTAATGTAAACCCTGGATATGTTTCATGCACCCTGCGTCACTTACAAGGCCAACGATGATCGTTGCTATTACTGGTGACTAGGTCGTTAAATAAAACCGTTTGTTATCGTATTAGTTTATTCGCCATTCACTCACAGTTTATTTTTTTTTTACATCGTCGCTCAAACTGGGCACGTACAAGTCAACTGACAATAATTATTCATAATTTGCTTAGTTCCTCGTGTAACATTTATTATAATAATATACATAATATTTATAGCCGCGTATTTATGTTCATATTTATATGTATAATATGTATAGATTGCTTGCTTGATCATCGGCTGCATTTACGTGACACATAATTCACGCTCGTGAATCAAAACGATTCATGCTCGTCGCGTTCACGTAACATAACGCAACATCACAGACTCTCTCTCACACACGTGCAACGTCGACGATCCGAACGCCTCGTGATTTTGCAGTACATCCGATGATTCATGGGACTACGGGATATTCGAGTTATTTTTTAACGCTCGTTCTACGTGCTCTCCGAACGAAGCTGGGTTACGGTTTAGGAAACGCGTTTAACGATGCACAACCAAAAGTGGTGTTACAAGAACGCCAATTAGTAAAAATCGTGTATGGAATTCGCTTGTCTTCAAGGTTTTATAAGTATATCTCAAGTGAATCAAGAAATAGTGTTTGTTGTTCGAACCGGAACACAGATCCGTTCGTCCTTTCGCACATCTAAAAGAGAGGACATTCGTAACTAGTTCAAAAACTCAATCGGCGAACCAATTTCAAGTCGCTCGAAATCAAGCGAGGACGAGATATAACGGCGGATGATTCGGTTGGCAAACATCGTCAAAGACGATTTTCGAACTTGAGAGAATCGACGGGTCGTAACGGAACGTCGGGCTCGGGCGGACGATAAATTCGAGACGATTATTAGTGGGCGAATAGAGAGAGGACCACCTTCGAGGGTGGTATCGGTGCCTAACGTAATTACCGCGAGCGCAATTAATGGCGAGGGGCTCTGTTAATCAATCCGCAAATGCGATTACCGCGGGCTCAGAATTGAATTACGCGTTCTGAATAGCAGGAAAGTCTTTGATATCCAACGCGCAACAGAGGACGGGCCACGGTGCACCGCAGTTTGTTCGTGTCACCGTGCGTCGACGTCTGTGTGATAAAGGGATCACCTCGTTTGTAGATTGCATCCAAATCTGACAATGCTTGACGAATTAATAATCACTGTAATAATACAATAAATGATATAATAAAATTTTGCTCAGACTTAGCATTCTCTGCTGTCAAAATTAAAGTTTATCAAAAATTATTAGTGATACTTTGATTGATTTGTTTTATGCTTGAATAATATCTATTTATAAATGCTAACGTGACGCCGTTTAAACGAAACGAACGAACGCATATAAATCAGTAATTGATAATTAGAAACTGTTTGATTATCCAATGCCGGTGATCTATTAATAGTCGTGGAATTTGATTTTAATTTCAACGGAAACGGACGTATAGTCTGAGAATCGCGTTGATTATTCCGCAAGTTAAAGAATTGGCAGTAGATCGCAGCTGGATAAATTTGGATAACTATAATTAACGCGGATTTATAGAGCGCTGAACTATTTCGAGAGAAGGAAGGAAACATTTATATCCGTTTGCCTTGAGCAACGTGGAAAAGAAAGATCGTTGATTTATTCAAGAAACGCGTAAGTGAATCTTTGCGGGGAACACGGTAGTACAGTATAAACGCGATTATTCCCCGAATAGATCCGATCTACAGTTCTTACGTTGAATTTTTATGTAAGGATTCTATTAAGAGGAAAAGGTGTCGTTCGTCGAATTTTGTCGTAAACAGAGACGTCTAAGTAATTACCGATATTTTATATCCATTAAAAACAGTGAATGCTGTGAAATCGAATAAATATGACATTTGAACAATTAACAATTCAATGCGATTTAGTACGTAAATCTGTAACCATTTGTCGAATAAAACTTGCTTTCGGGACGCTACTACGTCCCTCGATCCGTGTATCAATTTCTATAATCCTGAAGCTCGGCGTTCAAAGACAATAATTCCTCGGAATCTCTGATGCGATTATCTCACAAAAGGTTACTATACTTCAACGAGCAGTGCATAAGTAAATCCTCTTTTATAATTCTGTGCTGTTTGAAGACCATAAAAGGCTCGAGGTTGAAAGCGATAAATCCGTTGGTATTGAAACCAGCGGCTTTGCGAAGAAGGGGAACGCGGCGATAACGGCGCGACGTGGAAAATCTAACGAGGATGGAAAAGTCGGTAAACGGGCCAACGCATCGCAACGAGGAATATAATTAACGAACACGTGTGCGAATCGTGTCCCGCTCGTTCAATGCAACGTAATCATTATACGCTTCTTTTTTCTTGTACGGGCGCGTCGCCGGCCGATGGATCATTTCGAGGACAGCCGTCGACGTCGTTGTTCAATTGAAAACGATCGATCTCGTAATTATTACGTTCAACATGATTCTACGATCTCGTGTCCGGAACGTCGTTCGGGGAATCCGCTTCGACTCCGCGAATAATAAGAAAAAATGAACATTAATGACTACCGCAATTGCGGATTCTCCTCGTCTCGATTGAACAGCGCATTCGTTTCAATCATATCAACGAACACACTCAACTCATTCCTATTGTTAGGGTTTTAAATATTAAGTATTTTTACACGTTTTAGAGGTAAGAAAATAATGGAAATAAAATGTCTGGTTTATTATTTTTCAGTCGAATTTATTTAAATTTTTCCAATTTTTGATCTCATCTTTCTCGTGCAAAGTTCTTGAAATCACGATTTCTCGGTGGAACATGAAACCACAGGGGGTATAAAAGCCGGTGAAAAAGGTGTAGAAAGCAAATTTACTGTGCGATACGTTCGGGCGAAATTAGTCGCGCGAGAGTGGACGGGAGTGTATAATATCGAGCGTAGAGCAACGCGTATATCTGCACAGTATCGCGATATGACGCGACGCGACGTTTCATCCTTCGTTTCGTTCGTTATTTATTGCGGTCTACACGGCAAATTGAAAACGGATGCGGGAGTAGCGCCTGGCTCTAGGTGGCGATCGATAATTTCGGGCCGTTTCGCGCGAATCGTCACGACTCTCTGTATGAACAATTCGCAAATATACACTCCCGTTCATAAGTTTGTTAGCCAGTTCATAAAGAGAGTAACGAACAAATTATCTTTACATTCGATTCAATTTGTACGACGTTACATACACAGGATGGGAATCATCTCTTCGTTTTATAATTTTCAGCTCTGCAAACTATTGGATACTTTGTAGCATTCAGGAGAAAATACAAAAATTAGGCACATTTTAATTTAGTATCAAACTTCTTAGACTATCAACAATTATTTATATTACTTCATTTATTAGCTATTATTTTAAGGT